CATGCCAATGCTTAAATTTTTTTAAATAAAGCATTCTTATTCAGAATTTAATGCTCTTTCAAATGAGATACGTCGCGATTTTTGCGGCAAAGCTTCATGTAAATGTAGGACAGTTCTGAAAGATTTACCCCTTATTTCTTGGCTCAGTATCATGTTGCGTCGATGTTTTATGCTTCTTTTGATTTTTTCCTACTTCCGGAGGCTTGTCACCAATTACCATCGGTGCTGTGGCCAAGATCTTACAGATTGTATTGGAAATTAGTCTGATAAATTAGATTTTTAATAATATTATTCCAAAAGTATAATATTTTGTTAGATTAGCTAATGCTTACGTAGATAGACGCGTCCGCACTCAAGCTAGCTGGCGCTGATTCGTGGATCGTTGATGACTCTCACTTTTCGTGAGTCAATCAGACAGGTAATGAACCACTAGTTCAGCATCTCTTACAGTAAAATTTATCCATGTTTCTAGTCATAATAAAGTCGTGTTAGTTGTTCTCTTAACGTTATTTTAGTTGTTTTGAGCTTTATCGCTTTATCTTTGATCTCTATATTACATACTCTAGCTTCGTTTGTCTTTTGTTTATTTCTGATTCTTTTATTCTCTATTTCATTTTTGTGGTTTGGCTCGAGTCACTGTTGTTACAGTTTGTGGGCTTTGATGACTCTCACTGTTGGTAAGTAAACTAGTCTTAGCCATTGCTGGATATTATTTAGTTCCTCTTTTAGTCTTTTTCGTTAAACAACACACCATTATGATATACGTGTCACCATTTTTTCACATTTTTATTTGAACTAAAAAGTAGGGCGCTTTTGTTAAAGCACTGTACATATCAGTCTTTCTCGCTTTTCTGCAAGCCTCATGTGAAAATTTTTCGGACAGTTAAATGTTTGGAACCGTAAAGCGAACCTGTCAAACGCCTTCAAAAGGAAACATATGGCCGGATTTAAACTTGTGAATTTTTGAAAGTTAAAAATAGATCTCCAAAATTCACTTCTTACTGATCATTGATGCTCAAAAGTCGAATCATAGCACAAGACACTACATGTCTCGAAGATTGGGGTTTTCTGTAGCTAAAGCAGCGGATGTAGAACAAATTTATCGAATACTATCACTTGCCAACTAGTGTCGAATAGTTAGATCTAATGTAGTAGAATGCGGTCCAGAATTTGCAGAGCGTTCGGATGCTAAGCGCTAAATCATATTAACGACTAGTTTTTTCGATTTAGTGTAAAATAGTACAATAGTCTTTTGCTTCGTTATGTATTTTCTTCACTGTCGTCAGAACAAAAAAAAAAGATCTTGAAGTCAAATAAACCAAAAAGGAAAAAAGAAGATAACAAAAAACACTATAAATTTCAGAGGTGTTAGAATACAGAAAAAAAGTGTAAGATGAAATATACTTGCAGAATTTGTTCATATACTGTAACTTTAAAGTAGGGTGTGCGCTGTCTCTCTACAGCTATTAAGGTTTCTCATCCTTTTTTCACATCACATTTTTTAAAAGACAGATGAAAAGTAGAAAAGAATGAAAGGTAAAGGGATCCAAAGCCAGAAAAGAAGGAAAATGCCGAAAGTAGAAAACCTTGAGAAGCCGAAAAGTTTTTAAGATACAGACAAGAATATCAGAGCTCGGATATATGATAGATTGCAAAAACGACCATGGTTGGACGTCTCCTTCGAAGTGAATTACGCATTTATAGCTGATCGAGACCTCCTGCTTTTCTGAGACGAGAAAGTAGTTTACACATTTTTTTTTATATCCTAATACCCCTCAAAAATTTCATAATACGCTAGTTATATTTCAATACAAACACACAGTGATGGTGGACAATCAACTTTACACAGTTCTTTACACCATTTTTCAATACCCACTAGAGGCTTTAAAGCTTCACTGGTTGCATAACATTTAATTTGGGCTTCTTCTTTACTATCTGTGAATAATTCTAATGGATTAAACGGAATAATGACATCTAACGATGTTGTTGTTTTAACAGTAGTAGTTGGTATTGTTGAAAATAGAATCGGAAATGTTATAGTGGTAGCTGTTATCGGATTCGTGATGATGTCGTAAGGTAGCTGAGTTGTCGCACTCACAGTAGATATTGTTGAGGTAAAAGGCCAAGGAAAAAGATTATGTACTATTGTTATATCAGCACAATTATAAAACTCTTCCTGATAACCGCATCCTAAACACTGTTTACCACTTTCCAAATCTATGCCCCAATTATTACCGGCATGATAACGCCATTGTATAACACAATGAGAGCACCACACATCAGATGGTAAGTGAACTCTAAAACAGAGAAGATACATCACTATTATTTTATTTATTATTTGAGAACATCTGACTTCGGAGATTTCTGAAGAACAGTCGATCATAAAGCTTTAATTTTTGATAGTTGAAGATCTCTATGAGTTGTAAAAAAGTTCTGCTAAACCTATTCCTGAACAATTCGTGGCTCTAATTGTATACAGATCGCATTGGCCAAGAAGGGGCTGTTTTTTAACCCTTTACCTCTGGCAGCTTATTATGCAAAATAAATTTGAAACTCGTATATCATGGGTTAGGCTTGACGAAAAAAGGCTTTTCATTATCAATCGCTAGGTTATAGTGTCAGCTTACGGATTTACTCTCGATTCGTCCCTAATTGCTCTCTCTCAATTCGTCCCACAATTTTTTTTCTCAGTTCGTCCCACTTTTTGTAGTCTCAATTCGTCCCATTTTTCAAATACTTATTCTATATAAGTTCTCTTATATTTTACTTAACTTTCAGAAATGGAAACAAAAAAATATTATTAATACATTGTCTTTATTCCATATGAATTTTTACGGCCCTTCCGCATTTTATGGCTAATTGTGGATTTGTTAATTTCCCTTTTTCATGAGTGTCAAGTAAACTAACGCAGGTTTACTTTTTTTCGGTTGCTGTGAAACTTAACATTGCAAACTTCCTTCACAGGACAACTTTTGGTCAAATGTAAATTTCTTCTGTCTGCTTTAGACACGTTTCTGTAAATATATTTATTTATTTTAAGCTGACCAACATGGACGAAACTCTTGTTATTTTGAAGAATACAAAGGGAACTTATGTAGAATAAGTATTTAAAAAATGGGACCAATTGAGAGAGAAAAAATTGGGATGAATTGAGACTAAAAAAAGTAGGACGAATCGTTTGGGACCAACTGAGAAAAAAAATTGTGGGACGAATTGAGAGAGAGCAATTACGGACGAATCGAGAGGACACGCAGCTTACTTTAGCAAAAAAACTGATTTTCGATGCGATGTATGATCATCTTGTTATAGCGATTCTACGATGTTTACTAATGTCCACACTTGTGGACATCCGGGGATGAAGGATTAAGACAACATTTGGATATAAAGAACTTAACCAGTATGACTACAACTTCTACCAGAGATAGTTAAGATATACCAGTAGCTGTTTTTAGCTGATACAGTAGCTGATCTACAATTTGCTGTTACATACTTTAAATAAATTGAATCCATTCCTTCTCGAACTGGAAATTGTTTTCCGTATCCTTCAATTTCAAGTACATGTTGATCCAAACATTCTTGAGTAATTTCAACGTATTCGTTGAGTGATGGACACAGCCGAAATTCCATGTAACCCTTGTGATTGGCTGATAACTGAAAATAGAAATAAATTAATATTTTAGTTTTCTTATAGAGTGGTTGACAAATGATCATTTAAAAGAGCGATTAATCGTACAAACCAAAACTTTGATATCAATCATTGATCCTGATGAATATGTTCTAACAATCGTTCCAGTTGCATATTTTCCCCCAGTTTCATGATATCGAGTACCCGAATACGAGTCACCACATATTCCACATTTACCATCTGAAATAGCACATTATAATAATAGATAACCCCTTTCATGTTAGACATTGGTTACCTACCATTTGATTTTTGCACGCCGAGTCCACCACAATTCAACCCAACATCATCATAATTAGCCGGAATATTGAAACCTTAAATTAAAACTAAACCTATGGGCAACTGTGTACGTAAAGGAAGGCTAGACAATACCATAACGCCATGCCGCATTTCGAGCTGGTGGCTCCTCTAATCGTCCATGTCCATGCACAATATTGAATAAATAGGTACATATAAATATCAACAATGAACTATAAAATAACATGGTCTCGAATTAATATCTAACTAATAAGAGTAATGTAAATAAGACAACCCAGACTGTATTAGTTTATATTACTTGTTCAACACTAGGTACTTTAGCAGTTTTGGACAACGAAGATTTTTAAATTAAAAGTCAGCCTTGTGTTCAAAAAGTAGATTAAGAAGAAATTAATTTTCTTTCGATAGTACTCAAACTCTTCTAAACGATCATTATTGACGCAGAAATCCAATTTGAATCAAGATCATTCTTATTTCTAACAATAACAGAATAACCGATAGTTACACTAATCCAGGAATGTGGCCTGTATGAACTAGACAGGCATGCACCAGTAAAGATATATTCGGCTTCGGTCAATATCGGTATTTTGTTCTAAAATTATTTAGATGCGTTTTCAATTTCAGAACTGATTTTCTATGTACCTCGCTAAGAATGAATGAAAGCCAAGACTGTAGTGTCATCCATTTCACGCTCTGTTTGATGTAGGAGTTATCAATTTCTCAGATTACAGATACAATAACATGAATATGTTTATGACAAAAATAATTCGTACAGTCTGAAAGACAATGCATCTCCAGACAAGCGTCTTAGTTTTTCAATAAAATAATGTTTATTATGAATTTCGTATTATTATCTTCTATAGATCTTCGAACGATATTTGAGCTACCGGATATTTTCGACTAAGCGAATTTGTATTTTTACATAATGTAACGCATGCATACAGAATCACAAATAGTGAAAGGCTGTACATCCCTCGAATAATTGGAAAAGTTGTTGTTGTTATTTTTTCATTCAATCTTAAACAACTTTCTTTCTATGAACTTTCTTCAACGTCGATACACTACGTGTTCCCTGAGAGCAATCTTATCTTGATGGATCTTTCAACGTGGATTACGAAGTTATTGTTTTTTGTTTGTATCCATGATAAAAGGCAGCTTATCTAATTGTGTGACAGTAGTGAACGATGACAAATTTCTTGTACAAGATTCATAATAAACATTACTTTATGGAAAAACTAAGACGCTTGTCTGGAGATGCATTGTCTTCCAAACTGTACGAATTGTTTTTATCATAAACATATTCGTGTTATTGTTTCTGTATTTTGAGAAACTGATAACTCATACATCAGACAGAGCTTGAAATGGATGGCAAGGCAGTCTTGGCTTTCATTCATTCTTAGTGAAGTACATAGAAAATCTGTTCTGTAATTTAAAATGTAGTCAAACAATTTGAGAACAAAATACCGGTATTGATCAAAACCTATTATTAACCGAGGTTCAAAAGTTAAAACCGCATATTCATTTCTATTGCTTACCACAACATTTTAGTCAACGACAATGATATTATAAGTTGAATTAGGATATAAAGTCTTTCACAAGTATATACGATTTCACATCATTCTTTTTAAAAAAAGGCATATTTTATAAATATAATTTCAATAATCTTTTTTTGTTAGTAGTTAGTTTATAACTAAAACAGTATATTGAAGGACAGAGTATCTAATTTCGTCTTCTCTTGTCCATGATTAAAACGATCATGTTTTTGTTTTTTGTTCTTTGTATTGATTGAAGGACAGATATACCCAAAAAAAATTAATTTCTCTATACCATCATCAACATTAACGACAAAAATGAATGACGTTTGTACTTGATCTTAAGCGTGATGATAGAGCATATGATGAACCTATTTACCGATGTTTCTGCATCTACTTGACTTGATTTCGTTTTTTTCTTTTTTCATATCGTACACAAACCTCGAAACAGGAAACATTGTGTCTGAACAACCGTATGAATACATAGTGTTTTTGTTGTCTCATGTCAACAAAGTAAGAACGATTAATACTGATCCTTTACTATTGTTAATTATGCATATAAGTGATTATAGATGAACAAAGTGGAATTATCAGTGAATATATGAATATATAAATAAATCTATAGAAAAAATGAGTGAGAGTGAACGGGCAAAAAACCCTTTAAACATATACAATGATGATGATGATGATGTTTTCTCTCTCTCTCTCTGTCTCTCTCTGTCTCTCTCTCTCACAAATTAAACAATATGAATGTCATACCTATACTCAAACGGCTCATTACAAGCTTATAAAACGAAAAACAGTATTAGGTATTTACAGATACAACAATATTCAGATAAGAAGTTTTATTTTAACAGATAGATAGATCAACTCCGTACAGTAGTGGCCAAAAGTATGTGACTCGCTAAAAAGACGCTCAGAATTAATCCTATAGCTCACTATTTGGTATGTTGTATAATACAGACCATATGCTGATCGTAAGATTTTGTCATTGTTTATTTGGCTGTATCATTCCGGAGATATGTGTCTCTTACCATTTTGAATGTTAACTGAAAGTGTCACTCTGTTCATAGAAAGAAAACACTTTTTCATTTATTATTGAAAAGCTCTTTGTTTCAGCTATCTACCATATGAATAGCACGACTAAACTCTTATTAGTTACGGTTAGAGGTCCCACTTTGTTTGGTGTTATTCTCATGTGGTTGATTCCAAACTATATCAGACAACAATGGTTTGTTCACTACAAGGTTTCACTGTATAAAAATGTTAAAAAATAGAACATGATTCCTCCAATGTTTGGATGACTATGTTTCGTTAATATTCAAAACTCACAATGTTATGCTAATAAATATAAAGCAACTATTGACATTTCATTATTAAGCAGATGAAGAGCATGATGCTATTTCTGTATGCGCTAGGCTTGATTTTTTTTTGGCTTGAAATTTTTTTTCTATTTCTCGTATGAAAGTCTTCAAGCACTAACCTATTTTGGGTTTTTATTAATTTCAGATTAAACAATCGGATGAGTCTTCATAGGACTATTGGAGTTGAGGATTGAAAAAACAACATAAACATATCGTTGGCGAAAAGATTGTGAACATATCAACATTAGACAGATCACACACGAAATGAAAAAGATAATGGCTCATCTGTCTCGAAAACAGTAATGAGTTCACGTAGAGTCATTAATAGTATTCCAAACGCAAGAGTTGTTGTTGGTTTCTAGTGAATAATTTTCATCCTCAAATTTGTTAGTTTATTTTAAGTAAATGCACCTGGCCGCAATAGGACTCTGGTACACATAATGATCTAGATCGACAAAACGCTAGTCTATCATCAATAAACGAATATGCAAAGTGTAAATCTTATTCTTTTTGCTCGTTTGTATTATTTAACAAGTGATAGAGTACTGTTTTAAAAATTTCGCAGCAAACCAGATATAGATCTTGCGATACTAAGTATATTTCAAAATTTAACGACGTTAGCAAAAATCAATTCACCCTACACGCGCAGTAATTCTTTAATTAAACTTTCTCCGGCACTTCATAATGTAGAAATATATACTTTTCTCAAAGCATTTGTACTATAACAGCTACACAGTTTTCTAATGTAGTAACACTCCATTCAAATACATGGAGTTTTAATGAACAATTCTTGGTTAGTTAAGCCTAAGAGATGATTAGTTAAAAAAAATCTCATCTTATAGCCCAGATCTTCCTGTCTCCACTACATGGTTTTTAGTTCATTATCCTTTAAATTCATTAAGCTAATTAACATATAATCAACAGCACTAGAGATTTTCTTTTTTCCATTTTTATGCTTTGGAGTAAATAGAGACATTCCATGAAATACACCTCTCAGAGATGAACCTCTACCGTCTCTCAGAAGCTGATTTTGGTACTATACCAAGTGACAAAGCTCTTCAGAATGCTGAACTGTATCGCATATATGAAAACTAGCTCATTATTCTAGTGGATAAGGTTTTATATTGGCTTCACACTGCATATTTTTCGAATTCTTTAGTTCTAATACTAAGTGACCCAGGACGTCGAACACGGTGTAATTAATTGCCTATTAAATGCCAGTTAATAGCTAATGAAATAGTCATTAAATGGCCATGTTTACCCCTTATAAATGGGAACGTTTTAATACCTTAAAACAGCATTTTTTAACAGGCTGAAAACTGTCCGAAAATAGGCAGTTAATAGATCATGTAACGGCCGTTTTTACATCATTACTGACTGTTAACGGTAAATTATCGAACGTTTCCTTTGATTAATTTTTTTAATTAGTACCCCAAATATAGCAATTTCCCAAAACGTTGACATTTTTTGTTCCTTAGATCCACGGTGCCATCAACGGCATCAGACCCGGAACCAGTGACGACTTCCATCAGACAAGTTTCGATGACTTAAATAATCGGGGAGAAGAAAAATTTGCAAATTTCTTCCAAATTTCAGGGATATATATACATATATCAGTCATGAGTGCAAAATAAAAGGGTGAATGAAACAGCCATTTTAAATGTCAGTATTTGTATATTGTACAATTGAAGAATGGCCTGTTAATAGCCATTTAACTGTGACAGTTATTTTGCATTTTAGGAGCACAGATAAATGCCTGTTTTCGGCCATTATAACAGACAAAAATTTACAGTAAACAATGACTGTTAATTCTCTTTTTTTCAACATTTTGTGGTATGTTAAATGCGTTTATCAACAATCACATAACAGACAATAAATTGAGTGTTACTTGGCGGTTTTTTAACAGTTATTTGGATGTTAAAAGCCAGTTTTTCTGGCATACATTTAAAACACATTACATGGCTTATTAAATGTCAGTTATGTTTCACCTGGGGATATAACAACAAAAGAAAAGGGCGCCGTCTCTCATTAGTAAATTAGTTCTCCTTCTTTATCTGTTTCGCGCCATACTTAATTAATGACATTTTTAATCACATTTGGCGTCGTTTCTAGTATTTTTACGGTCATTCTACTTTACTGTGATCTGCTTATTTCATTTTCAGCAATTAAAGCTTATTAAATTCCTAATTTCTTGAACTTTTACAAATGACTATAACTGCATGAAAATATCAGTACTAATTTAGCGCCAATGAAAAAGCAGCACTCAGCAATGTGGAGAAAAACAAAAGGATCCCAGCCGTCGAAATTTTACGGCAAAAAGTGGTATTCCTATTAAATGTACAAAAATTTTAGACCATAGGACTACTATATAGTTCGTTTCTCTACAGCGGCTTTTCGGCTCAGGTAGAGTGTTCCTATCCGACTAACACTTATTGATGTATCGGCATAGGCACGTACATGTCGAATTCTGTCCTGGATAGTGTTTGAGACTAGTAGATTAAACAAGAAAGGCTTCCTAAGCTGCTCTAGCCGAGGTTGCCGCTAAAGTCTCCACCAAACCCACCGGGGAGTCTAGCAGGGGACCCTCTTGGCCCACGTTACGTGGTCCCCAATGGAGTGGAGATTGATGAACTTCCAAGAGCCCCAGCAAATCCACCAAGCTCTCTAGAACGTCACCATGGTAATCTACCACTCTCCCGTGATGGTTCCCTAGAGAGTGGATCATCGGGAAGTGAGGGAGACCTAGCAACAGAACTAAAAGTAACTCATTAGACTCGTTCGGTTTTACTATATATATGGTACCTAAGATTGGGGTACCATCACTGGTACCAGTATAACACATATCAACCAACAAAGGCCGGCCCGTTAGTGACAGCTAACTAGAAGAAAATTCGTAAAATTTTTTAGAGAACTGTATTATATTTATATGTTGTCTATCTGCAAAAAAAGAATGAGGAGTTGGCAGGGAGTTCTGGGGGAGTATCGACTAAAGTGTATCAAAAGCGACCTTCCTGATGATCCTCATAGGATCACCGGTGGAGGTTCATCAACGTGGAACTCACTGGTGAGTCCCCAGGGAATTCCCTCGGGATCACCTTCTGAAATGGTAGACTCCCCGGGGGAGTTGATGGGAGAGTCTCGACTAGGGTGTGCCGAACAATACTTGTCAACAAGCTAGCAAGGAAATCACACCGAAAAGTTATAGCTGACTTTGTTAAAAGCTGAAAAACCTTAGCTACTTTTGAATTCATTTCAAACTTGGATCTAAACATTTCTTCGTGTTGCGTGCCTGGTCTTTTCTTAAGAATAAAAATTGAAATATTTTGGTTTTTCTTGATTGATTACTACCTGAGCAAATACACGTAGAATCCAGCACTGTACGGCTTGTCCAAGCGTGACGCTGTAACATTTTTGACACAGTAATTTGAGCTTTCCTCAAAAAGTGTATAAGCTAGAACCGTCGTTCTTGCGCCGTTCGACGCAGCTCGCCATACTCTACTTTTGTTATAAAAATGAAGGTATGTGGTTAAGGACTCAAGCTTTTAGAAGCGTTTTTCGGCGCGTGACGCTGTGACAAAAAAGGTCCTAAATTCGAAGTTCTTCTGGTTAAAAGCTAATTTGCTGCGAATTTAGAAGAGCTAATAAAAAGCGTCTCGATCAAAGTTTGTAGAGGAGTAAACGAGCTACTGATTGTTAAAAAGAAATCTTTCCAAAGAGCTTTCCATCCCTCAATAATTGTGTTTTATCGTCGTGACGCTGTGACACTCGTTTTTCCCAACAAAGTTTGGAGCACTAAACATTGCTCAAAGGGTTTCATTTTCACATCAGACTTAGCTTTAGACATCTAATATAGACTAAGGTGAAAATAAAGCTGAAACAATGTTTTCACTTTCTTAGAATTGTGTGAAAATCTTAAAACTTAAAACTTTATTAGAAAGCTTGTTCTGGGTCTAAACTTCAAAAGAAACATATCATCTTGTAGAGAATCG